TGTCAGACAGAGACTAGATACACATAACCGTGCCACTACGACCATGCAGATGCAAACGCATGTGTTTTTAACCATAGCTGTTGCACGTGTTTTAACCTCTCTGACATGATAGACTTGACTCCAATTATGGCCGTACCCTCTCCATCTGACACTGAAAACTCGACTCTCCGTGCATAAAAAATAACTGGTCCGCCATTTTTAGGAGTCCGCTATATTGGATTTAGAGTGACGTCACTTAGCTAACCATGCATTGTCATCCAAACTAAATGTGCATTCAAAATTTCAGCTCAATCTGTTTTAAAATTCAGTTGCAAGATTTGAAAAGCTCTTAAAAAAGCTTGTAAAAAGAGTAGTATTAAGATTCTCTTATTCATCTGTAACAACAATCTTTAATTTTATTTAAGATCATTTTCTAACATTACACTCTGAATTTTATTACATTTTCGGTAAGCCTACGTAATATCTAGAATATGTTTTTTTTACTTATTTTTTTCTGAAAAATATCCCAATCGCATGATCGTAAATGTCAAATAGCTGTTGAATGAAGAATATAAATTATATTTTTTTATTAACATATAATCGACGTGAGCATCCGCGTTAAAAGACGCCTTCTGTTTTGAGATAGAACAATTCGCAATATTAGCAGTTACGAATCTCGTCCGTGTTTCGGTATCGAAGAACATTGTTTACCTTCATTTGATAAGAAAAAATATTTTGAAAATGTTTGAATTACCTTTAAAATTTAGTAAGAGAAAAATGTGTTTAATTAATATCACATTATAGGATTCCACTAACAGTTTTCTAATTTTTTTAAATTGTAACTGGTATAATGTATCATTAAAATTTGAACCATCTTTGGATTTCAGAATATGTCTAGTTTAAGAGCAAAAAAATATTTATTGCAAGGTTTCTCGAAAATGATACAGATTATACAGCTTCACAAAATAGAAAAAGTCTTGTGTAAATGACCAGAATACATTATTCCCATGTATTTTGAGCCGCTGAATTCGAGTCTGATGTCAGATTTACCCCAGCAAGTCATCAGAATTTTCTAACCTGAAAAAATAGCTTAAAATCACTAATATTCCCGAATTTTAGAATGATAGGGCTACAAATAACACAAAAATATATTATTCCCATGAATTCAATGCTAATTCTAATTCTTTCTGCGTTTATGACCGAATACTAAGGCTATGTTAAGCCTTTCTGTTCGTTTATAACTGGGCGCCAAGAAATTTTCGCTCCAGGCATCTCTATGGGTAGCACTGAATTCATGGAATAATTTAGCATTTAAACATTCTGTTTTTGCATTATTTGTAGCCTTATCATTCTAAAATTCGAGAATATTAGTGATTTTAGTGATTTTTTTCAGGTTAGAAGATTCTGGTGATTTGACATCGGATTCGAATTCAACGGGTCAAAATACACGCGACATAGGTCAGACCACGATTTTCAGTCACCTTATGGGCCAAATCTTCGGATTCGTGTTCAGCGGGTATCATAATTATACTCGGCGGCCAAAATGATAAAGAGTGACTAATACATAATATAAAAACACTATTACCATAATGCGTATAAAATATAAAATGATTTCTATTCGGTTCAATATTATTTATCTTTGTGCCGCTCGCCATGCACATCGGTAAAATCTATAATCGTGTATAGACTGAGTTACACTGAACGTCGATCTATATTTTATCTCTGTCTTTTGCATTTGGTAGGGAATAGGGAAATGCTTTTTTAGTGGGTGTAAACGGACTTGATTTGCCCGACCTGAGAAACGTCATAGCATAAGCGTAGCCGAGGGGTCTAATTCCATGGCTATAATAAATTTATAATTTAAAAAAACACAACTGGGACGTTTTAAAATGCTGTAATAATTAAAATTGATCAAAGTGCCGGTTATAGCAAACCGTAAAAAATATTAGATGTTATGTTTTATTATGTTTTTTCAATATTTTCTATATCTTGTTGCCTTTTACGCAGACACGCCAATGGATTTTCGTTCCCGGCACGCTTCATCCCCCTTACTAGTCCAAGAGCTANAAAATCCATTGGCGTGTCTGCGTAAAAGGCAACAAGATATAGAAAATAATGGAAAAAAAATAATAAAACATAACATCTAATATTTTTTACGGTTTGCTATAACAGGCACTTTGATCCATTTTAATTATTACAGCATTTTAAAACGTCCCAATTGTGTTTTTTTAATTTATAAATTTATTATAGCCAAGGAATTAGAACCCTCGTCTACGCTTATGCTATGACGTTTCTCAGGACGGATTAAATCAACTCCGTTTACACCCACTAAAAAAACATTTCTCTATTCCCTATCAAGTGCAAAAGACAGAGATAGAATATAGATGGACGTTCAGTGTAACTCGGTCTCTAGACGATTATAGATTCTATCGATTCATTTATATTCATCAATAAATTGACGAAGTTCTTCATCAATTAATTCACGAATTTATTGATGCAGTGTGGTTTTACACTGCTACGGACTTTGTCAAGTTTTTTGACACATGAATCAGTTCTACCAACGAATCAAAGAAGTAAATACATTTCAAAAATGTCACCTTTCCACTCATAATTATAGTGATACAACAGCGGTACCGTTTTGACACATATATAAATATTAGTGTTTGTAAGTAACAAATCAGTAAAAACAATGCGAAACTAGTACGACGCTTCACAATTATTTACATATTCCAATAACATAACCCCATTACTGATCTGAGGTTGGAAATCTGTTGGGTTGGTACTTCCGAATTTCACGAAGAAATTGACGAAAATTAGAACATGCTCTAATTCGTCAAGAACTTGATGAATAAATTCATGAAGTTATTTGACAGCTGATTTGGTGCATTACACTTGTCCAATTTTTTGATGAAGCGACTTCATGAATTAATTGATCAATAAATTGTCAATGTAAAACAGCTATTAAGTAGGTACTTGCACAAATTTTAAGGGGCAATTCTTTTGAGTGATTTAAAACTAAAAAGTTTACGTAAACATGGGTTTGCAAGTCGGTTGTTTTCGGTATACAATTCATGAATTGTCATTTATAATAAAAGTTCATTGATATACGATGTAATACATTGAAATAAATATACGATGTAATACATTAAAAATAAGTAACAACTTTCTGTGAAGAAATGTGGCTTAAAAAGTGGGTCATTTATTCAAGAATTACTTTATCCAGGGTGTTTGAAAAAGTTGGTACAAAATTTAAGGAGGTGAAAGTAGAGTCAAAAATAGTAAAAAAAGTTGTTATAAACATTGGTCCTCCGGAGCACCGTTTCTGAGATATGGCCCTCCAAAGGAATCTTATCATTTGGATATTTTTTAAAATAACTTTCTTTCTGATTAAGATAATGGAATCAAAATTGTAGGTAATAATCATACCATAAGGATCTTTAACTATCATAAGTTTCATCAAAATCGGTTATAAATATCGATAGTTTTCTAACTACCCTTAAGAGACATTTTTCGAATTTTTTTATTCCTTTTTTTACTACTTTGACTACTTTCACCTTAAATTTTGTACCGACTTTTCCAAACACCCTGTATAATACAGTTAATGTCACTTGACATTTTTTATAAGAAAATAAAAAAAAATTAGACTATTTCAGTTTAATGTTCCTTCTAGAAATATCCGATTCCAAGAATTGGCTTGTACATATCGTCCCTCTTATCACGTAGGGGCGTATAATCCAAGAAATGGATATACACATACGCCTCTACGTGATAATAGGGACGATATGTATACTTACCTGTAGGACCAGAAGTTCGCCCCACTTCTAGTTATATTTCGTCTGAACCAGGTTTCAGCTGATAATGTTGAGATAATGAGATGATATCACATAAATATTCAATATTTTTAAAAGATTATTAATTGACTGTTGACATTAATACCCCTATTGGTTGTATTTTGGGTTCTCCATGTAATATGTCTATTTGGAATTTAAATAAATAGTAACATAAAACTAATATACTATTTACCAAAAACTGAAATGTAGGAGTCAATTTTTAGCTAAATTAAATCGTAGTTTCCAAAAATGCAACCAATGTAATGAAATTATTTTTATGTAGAACTTACTTTTCTTCTATATTTTTTTTCTGTCTTCCCCATTTATTATAATTCAATAAGTATACATGGAAAATTAATGATAGTTGGCTTTATAAACTATATATGGCCCAAAAATGTTCTGTTGCGAAAATACGGGTGTTAAAATTTAAGGAAAAAGAAGGAAATAAATTCATATTTTCGAAACCGCTTGAGATATTTCAATGATATTTAGTACGTAGTGATAGTTAATAAAGAAGCATGTTTTTCAATAAAAACATTAGTGGTATTTTTAACTCTAACAGTGACGAGCGTACGAGCACTGACTTTTATATATTTAAAGTAAAAAATGGTACGCCAATTTTTCCCAAATAAAATTATTTTTGAAATTCCCGTTCAATTCGAAAGATAAGAGCTTTCTTGAGGTTTTGTCTTGAAGCGCCATTTTTGAGTAAAAAGGTAGAACCCGTTGTATTGTCCATAATTAATTAATGTAATTATTGGAGAATACACTGCCACTGTTCGATCTAAAAATTATGTTTGTATTGAAAAACATGCGCCTTTATTAACTATCACTACGTACTAAATATCACAGAAAGATCTCGAACGGTTTCGAAAATATTAATAATTTCCTTCTTTTTCCTAAAGTTTTAACACCCCGTATTTTCGCAACGGAACATTTTTGGATCATAGTTTATACCCTTAAATATTCGCATATCATTAAGGAGCATCCTGTATTTGATATAATATCTCGGAAAATAATATGTCCACATCTTATTTCAACTTTAAAAAAAATTGTAAATGAAGGAATTGATGTCTTCTGCGTGGTAATTTGACGGGAATTTATTCTACTAAGTATTTTTATGAAAATATACATTTATTCATATATTTATATACAACATATAACGTAAATAAAACATAAATCAATAAACATAATAAGTACATTATTCTATATCTTTCGACATACGTGCTTGTTTCTAGTTTAATTATTTTATTTGATTAAGTGAATTTGGTCATTATCGGCTGAAATATATTAATTTTAATAATTCACAGTTGAATGTAGTGCTGTAAAATAAGAGTTTTTTCTCATACCTTATACTTTCTAATAAATAGTCTGTCCTATTTAGACACTCACAGGTAATAGGATTATTCAAAATATACAACTCTTTCGAGGTTTTGGTCAAGTATTCCACCACATCATCAGGTACACAAGAAATTTTATTATTATTTAAATAAAGTCTGCTTCCTTCTTTTAAATTATGGAGAATTGTTGAAATCTGCTGTATATGATTTCCCTCCAAATGAAAATTGACTGGATTTTTAAAGTTGAAGTTTAAATCGTACACTTCTTCAATGTTATTTTTGTTCAAAAATATGGTCATAGACTTCTTATGCTGCGGTCTAAGATCTTCAAAAGAATCTCTGGATATATATTTGATAATATTAAATTTGAAATCTATAATGTGTATTTGAGGACTGCCTCGGAAAATATTCGCATTTAATTGCGTTATTTTATTTCTGTCTAAATGTACCTCTCTTAGGTTCGGCATACCCTGGAAAGCACTTTGTTGGATGTCTGATATTTCATTTTTAGATAAGTATATTATTTCCAAGGAGGGGATATTGTTGAAACTTCCATTTATAATTTGAGATAACTTATTCACTGCTAGAGACAATATTTTTAATTGCGGAACATTTTTAAAAGCATGTGGTTGTATTTTAGTTAAATTGATATTAATCATTGAAAGACTTTCTAAAAAAGGAAAATTTTTTATGGTACCCTCACATAAATCTATAACATTAGCTTGGTAAACATCTATTGTAGTATAGTTCTCCAGCAGGTTAAAATTGCTATTAACCTTAAATCCTCTATACGCTTTATTATAATGGACCGTCGCATTCACAGAAAATAAACCATTTTTATTATCACAAACACTGTAAATGTCACTAAAAAGTAATAGTAATAAAAACACTGAAGATAATTTTCTATTCATTGTCATTATTAATGAAAACTAGGTACTTGCTTCTAATTATAATTAGTCACTATTTAAGGCGTTACAGATTGCGTTCGCATATTTATAATATTAAAATTTGATAAACTTTGGCATTACCTCTTAGAATAAAATATCATTCGTTTAATTTTGATACGCAAATCCGATGATGTGAGTAGTATTTTTATTTTAGTTTATTGAATAAAATTTACATCGAATTGGTAATAAAAAGAATTGTTAAATTCATTATTTATCATTAAACATTGACCTAATTTTGTATATTTTGTCCAACATTTATATTACGTTTATCTAGATTGGAAAAGTTTAATTTGAGTCAAGGTTTGTTTGTTTGTATTGGAAATATCGGATATATCATATGACAAATACTTATAATAATAATATACGAAATAAACCAAAATCCAGAAATTTTAAACATGTGGTGTGGTCATCAGTGATCAGTAGCGTACATAAAGAGAAGAGGGCTTGGGGGTCTCAAAAAGCTTCGCAAGGACAATCGGCATCATATTCGCTTAAAACTGTTTAATAACAGTATAGGAGCAGTAATCTAATTTGCTTTGAGACTACCTTTAGCCTGATCATTTTTTATGTGACATAGTCAGAATGGAATGAATTTTTACAATTTAGCTCGTTTTCGTACGTTTTACATAGATCAGAAAAACCTAACCTGACCTAACCTAACTTATCCATTTTTTTTTTATTAAGAACAAAGAAAAGCGCGTATACTGGGAGTCGTGAAGCAAAATGGATTGGTTATCTCTAGACACTATTGCTGACCGTCAGCGTTTGTTTAAATTCAACTCTGAATTTGAATTAAAATTTGTGAAGTTCATATTTTCAGTAGGTATATTTTAAAATGGCTGCATATTCTATTCACTTTAAAAATAACATTCGAAAGAAACTGACTAATTGAAACTATATTGTTAAAAGGAACATAAAATATTATATTTACTTACCTACTTTTTAAATTTCGGAAAAAAACATTTTTTTACGCCAATCGATTATAGTAATATTTTTACATTACGTAATTAATACTTGTAGTTTTGTACTTTACATTTCATCAACTAGGTAATTTTTTGTCATATTTTCTTATATTTTCTTTATGGTTTAACATAATTTGCTAATTATTTTGTAGGACGTCGCAGCAATATAGTAAAGCAACACTTTTGGTCTTTAAAACTAATATCTTAGGTTTTCAGCTGAAAAATAAAAATATGCCCTCTTTACATGCCTTACATTTTTAAAAAAACAGTTCACAGTTGGCCTACAAAATTATAAAGTTACGAAGGCGTTCTATTTGTGCTTTGTAACACTACAACGATTGTTTTAGTCTTTGCCCCATTTGATTTATTTATAAACAATTATAACCATTCCCAAATACTAGACCATGCCTAGTAATGGCATTACACTAAAACTACACTAAATTTTTAACGCGTTCCATTTTTAAGAAAATTTTGAATGAAAGCGGATAAAAACTAAAAAAAAGTTATAGTTTTATTTTTATTACTAGCTTTTGTACTTATAATAATAGGTACTAACAGTTTTACTAAATTTTCTTCAAAACGCTCTCTCAACAGTAATAATAAAGTATTTGATTGAAAACTAAGTTGTATAGAAAAAGACGTGTTGACGGGGTGAGTATTCGTTGGAGAGTCCCTGTGTGTGGAGTCGGTCGTAGGTATATCAGTACGCATGTGGTGGCCGGCGCCAGCCTACCGTAGACCCTTCCTGGAACGTTAGTCCGTCCGGCGGCGTCCTGCTGGCGCTCTTGACGTAAGGCTTAAAAATGGGTCACTTGCGGCATGTGTACCCACATATGTATATAACTTCATAGAAAGCCTAGTAATTAGTAATTATTTCAAATAAAAGTTAAACATAATATTTGCAAATAGTAAGGTACTGATGAAAAAAATACATATCTATATAATATGTATATTGAAAATCACTTCAATGGTGTTTATAGAATCGATGTCAATCTATTGTAATTACTTGTTGATTTTTATCCAAAGTGATGTTATTATGATAGCATATGTTTTCTTATATTATTGTTTTTTTAACTTATTATAGAGTTATTTCTTTAACGTATCTAGAAAGAGTACAGACTGATACAAAAACGTTTGCGTCTGACAAGATAGTTCCGTCCACAAATGATCAAGGGAAACCCTCCAGATAGTAGAAGATCCCGATTAGGTCGACCTTCACCCATCGAGTTTCCTAATGAAATTTGAATTTTGATAATATGACGTATTAATAAACAAAACTTGATATGGTCGACATCCAATTGCTCTGCACAGCTATTTTTAATAAAAAACATTAGTTATTATTTTTTTTCCTGAATATAGATATTGAATTTTTGGATAAATGTATTACCAATCGAAAATAAAATATGTATACAATATGCCAAAGTGTGGTCGACATTCTTGTTCCTTGCATAAAACTAGGTAGATAGGTATAAATAGGTAAATTTGAATTAGTATTTTGTGAGTTATAGGGTTTTCTATATAATTATATATGCAAATGTTGATAATTTTGTTTAATTAAATTTTTTTTTTATTTAAGTATTTTTTTTTATTTAATTTTTTATTAAAAATAGCTGTGCAGGTAAATTGTATGTCGACCAAATCAAGTTTTGTTTATTAATACATTATATTATCAAAATTCAAATTTCATTAGGCAACTCTATGGGTGAAAATCGACCTAAGTCGGGAGCTTAGACTAAGTGTATTTGTAAATCTACGGTTGAATGTATAAAATCGAATACTCAGGACTGTATTAACGTTCCAAAACGACTTCGCTATGGATTTTGTTTCGAAAGTGACAAATAAAAAGTTAAAGCCAATGTAATTTTTTTTTAATTCTAATTTAATACATAACTGTTATAATATATAAAACATCATTTGCATACATAATCTCTAATCGTTTGTCACTTACTTACTTGAAAACAATATCTAAAAAAAAAAATTTCACTATTAATTTAACAAAAGTATACATATTTTTTAGAACTGGGAAGTATTAAATACAGCTGTATTAACGGGTCAGCAAGTGTCTCAAACAATGAAGGTGTTTATAGTTTCACAAGCAGGGAAGGCAGCAGATGTCACATTTCAAGCATCATGTCATTCTGAGGATGAAAGCGTATTAAAGGTATCATTAATATTTTTTCATTTAATTAAATTAACATATGTTTTTTACTTATTTCCTTGTTTGTTCCTTTTTATGGAATTATAATTCTGACTGCATGTTCTTTCCTTTTTAGGTATCCTCCTCATGTGGCTCTGTATATGTAGATGGTAGTGAAGCACGTGGGTCAGTCAATGGATCTGTTTTGGTAAAATATGGAACATATACTGGACTCGCTCAATTTACAGTTTGGATGCCAGAATTTCCTTTGGAGTTAACTGTGGGTGACACAAGATTATCTCAACTTAAATCCTGGCGAATTCCAGATTTTCATCCCAGGTATTTAAAAATATGTTAGGAAATGTATTATTGTGTTTAATCAATAGAAAAATAAATACTGGAAGTTCAAATATTCTAGGTATATACACTTAACTACCAAATATCTTTGGTGCCTAAATAAGATGATTTGATAAATTTGCTTCTTTCTAAATCTTTGTTTTGCGGCTAGAGGGCATTGAAATTGACAAAAGAAAATAGTTTTTTCAAATAATTCCAAAATACTTGGCAATTGAAATTTGGTATGCTACTACTTGTGTATAGTCACTTTTGACATAATAAATAAAGTTATTGTACTTATAGACCAGGGCGAAATATCCCACATCTTGGATGTAAGAGTACAACTCACATAATAAAAGTGTAGATCTCTAGATCTGGGCGAGGTCCGAAAAATTTTCAAAATTGCAAAAATGTTTAAAAAATTTTAAAAAGTTTAAGAATTAAATTTTGCACAATATACTGTAAGTTAAAAATGTTTAAATTTATGACCGATGTTGCAAAATAGCAATAATTGATGAAAAAAAGGCAAAAAGTTTTTTGGGTGATTTCTTAAAAATATTTTAATTGCTCCGAGGGCATTCTAATTTTGGTAAAAAACAATAATTTTTTGAAAAAAAATTTTAAATAATTCGAATTTTCAAAATGTTGCACTGCCTCAAATAAAGCATCTAGATACTTGAAAATTTTGTTCTCATAGACAAGACCGCTCAACCTTTCAAATGGTTTTTGAAAAATTGAAATCGGTTGATTAGGACGGCCACAGTAAATTTTTACAATTAGATTACATTTATCAATTGACAATTTAGTTTTTTTTTCAAAAATTATCGTTTTAAAGTACTCGGAAAGACGCTTCTTAAAAAAGGTAAATTCCGTTTATTGGTTCTAGAGATATAAACGGCCAAAGTTTATCGGCTTCGTTTTTCCGAGTTCTAAGCTGGAAAAACGCACACGCGAAAAGTGACTCAAAACACGAAAAGTGGGGGAGGGGGCTTTCGCTCCGAGTCTGAATTCGGAGGTTCAAAATGCGAAGGTACGAAAAAAATTGCATTATCTCGGCTTCTAATGGACCAATTTCGATCTTTTTTTTTAATCCGATGTCTCGCGAGCCAAGGAATTCGAATATCGTAAT